AAAAAAAAAAATGATTCTTAAAATTTGATTAAATTTTATATATATAAACTCACTAGACATATCCATATAAATATTCATGTTAGAATATTCCGTACTCCATTTATCAGTATTTTTGCCATATGTAATTCTTGTTTCTAAAGATTCCGTGTAATTCCAGGGAAAAATTATAGCACCCCATACGTTACCTCGTTTCACAGCTTCTTTAGCATCTTTTTCATAATCATATGGTAGAAATTTTATCGATCTTTCCTCTAAGTGATGTAAATATCGACAACTTAACTGAGTCCAATTACAATCTATTGCTGGTATACAAGGTTCCATACTGTTATTCAATTCATAATTTACTATTGCTAATTCTAAATTTTTTGGATCTCTGCCAATTGAAATGCAAAATAAAATAATTTGAACAACTGGCAGACCAATAATGAATAACATCATGCTGAAAAAAAAATAATATTAAATATAATGTAATTTTTAAAATATTATATTTAAATTATTTTCTTTTTGATAAATCAAAAAATATAATTTATGCTTATAAATATATAATTACGAAATTAACAGATGTAAATATGAAATGAAATATATTGATACATTTCTTTTTTTTTTTTTGAATGTCGTTCAATTTTTATTAAAAACATATAAAAATAAATATAAAATTTAATTTATTAGAATACTTTGCTATAATTTTTTGAAATGATACAAATAATTAAAAATCATTATTAAAGCGTATATGGTAAAAAGTTATTTAATATTATATAATATTAAAAATAAATTGACAACTATTTTCACTTATATTTTATTGTTATTTTTTTAAGGACTAATTTTAAATTATATTTTTTGCGTAATACAAATTTTTCTATGTAAATCTTAAAATTTTAATTTTAAATCTTCAAAACATCATAAGCAATTGCAGTTATCAAATTTTATATTAAGTCTATTTTGTGTTTAAAATTTCATTTCTTACATGATTTATCTTTTGTTAATTTACTTTTATATAGTAAGTGCAAATTACTTATTATTTTGTAATTAATAAGAATAATTTAAAAGTAATCATATGCTAATAATCAT